ATTGAGTAGGTACGTAAATAATGTTATTTTCTTTTTATTATTAATTTGAATTTTTCCACAGGTTCACCGTCCGCTGGGAACTGGGATAATCTGGAACTTGCAGACGAGATAATGGACGTAAACGAAACTAGACTGGAAGATATGTCCAGGACAGAAGTACTCAGTCATATACATGAGGTAATAACTTAATTTTTAATTTTTTTTTATCACTTAACGAATGCAACTGCAATGTTTTATTGCTATATCGGAAATGACAGGCGCTCCCTCTCTCCAAAGGGAGCAATTAAAATTCATATCACCAATTACATTGAATGCTGGTCCCAGCTACTGATTGCGTTATTGTCTACATATAGAGACACATACTATATACATACATGATAATATTGCTCTGAACTTCTAACAACTGGGATGTATATTGTTTTTGAATAAAGTAACCGCTTGGTATAACGGCTTTTATAATTTTATTCAACCCGTAACTTGATAAATTAAAATTGTAAATCATTAACAAAAAAAATTCTTTAGCCTTTTATGTTATAGTTAATTGCTTAACTATTTGTAATATAGCTATATAACATATTGATTTAGTTAAGAATTCTGGTAAACTCTACCCTATTTTGTTTTACATTGCCGTTCTTTTATGTTTTCTTGATTGCATTGCTAGAGTCAAGTGACATCATCAATAGTTTCTCTAAATATAGTGAGATACAATAACAGACGCGGGACAATCGCCATTGTCCGCTGCTCGCTCACAACATGATATACATAGCTGTCGGAACACAAACTGTAAAAGATAATTCCTCAGATCATAAGCCAACCTTCTTTTTCTTGAATATCTCGACCTTGTTTAACTAGAAGTTAGGCTATAACCGTCTACAGATTGTTGGAAGATAAAACATAGCTCCTAGGTTACAAAATGATCCAAGTCTACTCTTTAAATTATTGATACTAGCACGAATATTTTGACAAGACAAAATTTGTATTAAAGTGCAGCGCCCCTACCGGGCGTAAAGTACACCAAAACATTCTTATTTTGACATAATTGACGATGACAATAAGAATGCAATCGTCACAAATTTTCGTTTTAGGCCCGCTATTAAAATATAGTATATGTATAAAGACTGAAGGATTGCGCTTGTTCATTATTTTAAATTAATTAATTTAAATGATAAATTATAATTAAGTATTTATAATTTTGTTATCATAAAGTTAAGTAATTAACGTTAGTTATATGTTATTCCTAAGCACATTAGATCGCCAGCTGCAAAGCATTGCAATTACAATGAAGCCATATTACACATACTGTAGTAACATTCCACTTCAGTAATTTGTTCCGGCGATGTTCCGGACAGCTGGAGCACGTCCAAATTAGTTCGTCCGGAATTTGTTTTGTTCCGGCAACCGAATGATCCCAGTTTACAGAACAAACCCGAACTAAATGTGCAAGTGCATTGAAGTTTCGGTTTAAATTATTGTAGTTGAACACGTATTGTCTCTGTTAACCCTACTCTTTAATGACGAAGCATTTATTAAATAGCTATCTCTATTTTTTCAATGGGAATGACAAAGAAGACCGTATGTTTCTTATGTGTGGTTCGCCAGTAGAAATTGAATTGTTTGAAACGGTTTCTTTTAGCTCATAATGAAGACTTTATAATATTGTTATTCAGTCAACTATATTGATTGTAAGGGACCTTTTATGATTTTTTTATATCATAAGGTGGCAAACGAGCGAGCGGCCACCTGAAATCGCTGAAATAGCGAAGTGACCGTTGCCCATAGACATACGTAATTGCATATGCGTTGCCTACATTTAATCAACGGAGGAGAGGATGCACAGAAATAAAATATTTTCCCTTTCCATGCATCCTCTCATCCGGAAAGTCCACTTCCACTTCCCATCCTTTCCTTTTAAGAAAAAGGTTGGAAAGGGAATGAGGACTAAATTAGGCCTTCGGGATTTACAAATTTTATGTATAATACTTACTACGTCTTAATATATAAGAATATTTCGTTTTAAGATTTCTGCTGCATTTCGTTTAACTCTATTTTATTAGCTACAAAATAAAATTAATAAAGAAAATCAGTTTTAGCAAGAAATCTTAAGACGAACTAAGTGTTGTTTTATAACTGCACTGCAAGTTTATTCCAATTTGGGAGTAAAACTTCGAATTTAATTAACAAGTCCTGAAGGTTCTGAAAATAAAAACACGTTTCTCACTAACTTTGGATTGCAAATGAAAATTATAACTTCCGTACACCTTGTGCTTTATGTTTTCCAAAAAAAAATTAAATAGCGATTCAAGGTATTTAAATATAAAGATTTTGTGTTTTGTTTCAGTGTATATCATCGTGTGTTATCAAGTTACGAGTGAAAAGAAGGAGCGAGACAAAATTATGTAAGTGTAATTTTTATCTCTTTCTTTCAAATTTCAAGTTTACGTGTGATAGACAGTGGCCCATCACGAATATTTACGACAATCGTGGTCGTATTTTTATCGATAATTTTATCAAAATTAGTATGACATTTTTAGTGTTTTTACCCTAAATTATTTTTCTTCTATCTTACGAACAGTATTGAACAACAATGTTATATACATGTTATGTCAGACTAGCTGTCGCCTGCTAATCCGTCCGTGCGAAAGTAAAAAAAGCTTAATTAGTAACCTATGTTTTCTTCCAGACTATGTTCTACGTCTATGCAAATTTTAATCGAATTCGTTCTGGAGATACATTTAAACATTCGCATTAAAATATTAGTAAAATAGTACTTGAAAGGGAAACCTCGTTAAATACATTTTAAAGATCTTTAATATTAAAGTTTCCAGGTGGCAATGTTTTAATATCGCTTCATACTTGTTACTAGTTTGCTCTACTTTCTGATTCAATATCTTTTAAGATTGCATTCTTTATTTTTGTTGAACGATGCCGAAATCTGATGAAAAAAAACGATATTGTGTTTAAAACTTTAAATCCAAGGTTAAAAAAGCATAGAGATTGTGTAAAAAATGCTTAAGATGTTTTAATCCAAGTGTTTGTAATTTGGCCGCGGACGAGAGCGAAAGCGTGCCCGTGGTCCCGTCCCGATGCGTTGGAGGAACAGTGGGGCTTAGTGTGTATGCCTCCGCTAGGGAGGAGAATCCCACATAACTACCGCGTCCCCCCCGGGGCGCGGAGTATGCATAAAGCATTCCCCTCTGAAAAAAAAAAGTGTTTGTAATTTACAATTATATTTTGTTCAAGTTACGTATACACACGCGATACTTAATTCGTAATTATTACCTGCTAGATGTCGCCCGCGACTCCCCCCGTCTGCACGCAACTAAAAAAAAAAACTTAATTAGCCTATGTGTTCCTCCGGACTATGTTCCAAATCTATGCTGAATTTCAGCTAGAACCATCATCATCATCACAACATCCATCCATCTAAACATTCGCATTTATAATATTATTAAGAAGTAAGATTTGACTTAATGTATTTCTTTAGTTCTTTCTTAGATTCTTTACTTACAAATCTCGTCGTATCTTTAATAATTTTTCGAGAAAAGAGAAACCAAATAAATTATTAAAATGCTATTCTTAAATTAAGTTTGCTTTTTAATCTTTTGTCGTTCGGGGATTTCATTTTATTACCGAGACTTTGTTTATTTCTAAAATGTTGATATTCGTTTAAAGAAAATAGATAAAATCTCTATAAGACGTCAGTTTTAAGCCATGATGAAAAGTAAATCGGATTTCTCTGTGTCAAAAATAACTTGGATAAAGCCCTGCTCAAACAAACCTGAGTTTTCAGCACGAATTCTTTGTTCATTTTGAAAAGGGGAAATTATTTTTTTTTGTAACTTAACACTTTTGTTTAATGCAATCTTAAAAAGACAAAGAATATTATATACTCTTCTCTACTTTAACACAAATAATTAGGCGAACTGTTTATTGATTAATTGACCTATTTATTAAATTGGTAATTCTTAATTACGTACGTCAATGTTTTCAACTAAACGTCAGGAAAACTTAATGATTCTAGGAAGATGGCCTAAATCACAATGAAGAAGGCAGATAAATAATTAAATGTAAATATCACGAGGCCTCTCCTGTCTTAAAAACTCATTTACTAAAGGAAAATAAAATCATCCAATTACATAAAAAAAGGGTTTATAATGTTTCGTAAAGTTTATTTAATAAATAAATAAGACATTAAAAATGCAAATTAAAACATTAAATCTGGCCTAATATAGTTTTTAGCGTAAATAACATGATTTAATTTCATGAAAAGCTTTTTAGCCTACAGTCTCAAAGAAAATAGACCGCGAATCTCGCTCCAGTACATTTTGCTATACGATACTTCTTTGAAAGATAATTTGATTATGACTTAAGAATAGTTCACGACTACGCTTATATTTAACAAATATATATACAAATAAAATTTAGTAATCTGGTTATGGTCTTGCAAAATATAATATGACGATGTCAAATTTATATCAAGTACTTAATTCGACAGAGTTGCAACTGTGTTGAGCAATGTTGAAGTTGGAACGTTGTCGCAGTTGAAGGCAGAGTCAGTGAATCACTTTCGTGTAATTGTGCGCACCCGCTTGTTTTCGCTCGGACACAGCCTTTGAGGTTATTGTTACGGTGCTGCCATCTATTGAAATTTTGCCTAAAAGTAAAGGAATATTTAATAATATTAAAAAATAAACATAACGTGGTACCTTCTGATAATACAAAATACTTAACAGATGTATCTAATCGCTAACTAAAGAAAAAAAAATTACTGTTTCAAAAACTAATAATTTTACATAGAGACAACTAACAAGTTTTAATAAAATATAAATAGCTAACACTATACAGCCAACTTTAAAGATTAAATATAAAATGATCGCATTTAAAATTTATTTGAAAACTTAAGTGATTTTAGACGTAATACAAACAATATAGGAAAACGCGTCAGCAAGCATAGCAACACTATAAAACTGATGTGCGAGAGAGACAGAAAACTGGTTGTCGAGTCACCGATCGCCTCGCTGTAGTTGGTGCGTTTGCAAGTCGGACGAATATTATTAAACAACAATTACCCATGTTTTGGCTCACAAAATCATTGTTTGAACAATATTGAGTGCAGGTCCGGTGTATTAGTGTGACACAGTGTGACACCGTGCCGTGTGAGTGTCCGCTCGTTCGGGGTGATTGAACTTGGACCAAGAAACCTACAGCCTTCGGGGCTTTCCTTCTGGATTCCGAATTATAGGATTAAAATAGCTAATAGTGTTTGTTATTAGTGTTTTTCTTCAAAATTGGCAGTGTTGTATATATCAGGTGAGTCATGTAGTTATTAGCAATTTTATTAATAAATAGTTCTTATTCGATTCTAATTAGGAAATTGCTAGTTACATATTATTTTGAATTAAGAATAGTTTTCAATTCAAACGGTTCCAAATGATTTAACAATAAGTATCCAACGAGAGACAAACACGTCGTGGAAATACCGGTTCGTATATTACAGAGAACAGGCCTCAGCTCGGCCACAATAAGCCTTCGTATCGACGAACTGATGTAGAGTTAATTTTACATATTCTCTTGATGATTTATCTAACAGAATGAATACGCAACACAATATTAGAGAATAAATTACTAATACATTCAAAGTATTCAAAGTTAATTTAAAAAACAAAACTAGGTGTTAGCATGTTTATAAGCAACGTAATTAAAAAATAAGACACAGTTTTACATATGGCCAAATTGACCAAATATTCTGTTTTACTAAAATAATGTCATCTAATTTTTTTTAAGGCAAGTAAGAAGGATAACAATATTTTTATACAAGTGTTTAGTTTGTGGAAAGTCATGGTTACTATATGCTAAAAGATGTAGTTTGTTAAATTTAGATTTCAACTACGGTTTTACTAACTCGGATACTATACGACAAATATGTACATAACTATTTTTAACCGACTTCTAAATGGTTCTAAATTTATCTGTATGAATTTAATAATATATATGTGACATCATTATTAGTCGACTTGAAAAAGAAGGTTATCAATTCGTCTGTATTTTTTTTATTCGTGTTACCGCGTAACTACGCCTCTGGTGATCCCATTTTGAATTTCGAAAGGTTTAGCGTACAGGTGGGTCTCATTTTTTACTTTTTGTTTTTTAAACTATACAAAACGTTACTTCAACATGGTCCGTTACTAGTTCTGATAACAAAAAATGTATTAAAAACATTAGTACATCATAACAAAGTATAAAGTGACCAAGATATTGCTAAAATATCAAATACAGTACATATGAATTCAATATAAAATTGAATAAAATAAAAATCATACCAACTAATTTAAAATTTAAATTTCGAACGTTTTTTTTTTATGATGTTAAAAAAGTTTTGACAAAATTCTTATTACTATAAAGCCACGTCAACTAGCATGTTAAAAAAACGTAAATACATAACTCATTGGCTTCGGTAAGATAGTTTCTTGCTTTTGTGATAATACAATGAATGTCCGCCAAGGTGAAAATTATTATAATATTCCAAGACACAGATGTACATAATTATTATTAAAAGATAATTATAATTGCAATAATTCAACAATTAGTTGTCTTCGTTTTTATTCTTGACATCCTTGACACACGGTAAATTAACACTAAACACGTGTACAAAATTTGTCATCCCTTTTTGTCCTGAAGGAAATACTTGAGATAGCATTATATTACTTAAATATTTGTTTTACGTTATTATTTGAACATGGACAGTTTTGAAATATAGTTTCTATTTGATTTAGGATCTTCATTTTATTCAAGAAAGTCCTGAATAAGCTACTTAGAACTTATTTATCAAATAAAGTCATTGTTGGGGGCTCACAATTAATACTAATACTAGCTGTCGCCACGACTCCCTCCCTTTGTTATTGGAAAAACTTACTAGCTTACTTAGTAGCCTATGTGTCGTCCAGACTATGTTCGATATGTATGCAAAATTTCATCGAGATCCGTTCAGCCGTTCTGAAGGTATCTTCAAACATCCATTGAAACATTTGCATTTAAAATAGTAGTAACATTTTAAAGTAGATCTTAGGTAATTACGGACATATTTCCAGAGTTGCATAAAGCTTGCCTACGCCAAGTACAATGACTCAACTATCAGCTGACTCTTAATCCAGTATTACTTAACGCATTGTTTCCTGTAAGGCACATCGTACACAAGGCAACTGAAATCAAAACTTTTATATTGTACGGTTGCGTTGCGGGAATCGCGTTGCGCGCGATTCGTACATAACACGTTGAATCATCGATGCGAGTTGTCTATTCAGTCAGTACAGGAGCGACTACTTGGCTACTGTATAGATTTGCTCTTGACTTTTTTCACGACGATCTTAACCTCCATGAAATTTGGTACAAATATAACACATAGGCTACTTATAAAGTTTCTTTTTTTAATTCGCGCGGATGGATTCGCGGACGACAGCTAGTTTGTCGTATATTTATTAACACAAATGATGTGTTTGTTTGCTTAAACATTGTTTTAATTTGTTTGTCAATAAACTATTGTATAAATATTAAATATAAACACGACTGTCAGCTAAATGAGGCAGACATAACATTATTTTGATAATACGTCATTCGCAATCACACGTCACCACATCTTATCTTATCTTATATTAGAAATGCGAATTATTGGATGGATGGATGGATGGATGTTTGTTTGAAGGTATCTTGAGAAAAGATGTATGGATCTCGCTTAAATTAAGCATAGACGTAGAACATAGTCTGAAAGAACACATAGGTTACTAACCAAGATTCTTATTAATTTCCCGCTGACGAAGTCGCGACAACTAGTACTTATTATGCTTGTTAAATACTTGTAGGTAATAATAATTTTGGCACTAATTTCTCTACATTTTTAACATCTCTTTTATGATCTTTTTAAAAAATTCGACAATTTTTTTATAATATAAATCCTACTAAAGTAGAGTCTCATGGTTTTGATGGCCTATGTTATTTTAGTTTCATTTTATTTGGTGTGAATTATGCGCTAAGGTTATCTTTAAGTAAATTTTAATTTTGATCCTAAATTAGACTTAACAACTATCTCCAGTTAGAGTTCTTTCTAAGTTTGAATTTCGCTTTTCCACGGCATTGTACGATAACTTAGTTTCTTGGCACTTGTCCACGCGATTGTATTTTGCAGTGACGTTAAATGGATACCAAGTATCATTCCTGACGCACATATGAGGAAATATTCCCGATAAGGAAATAACAGTTTAGCGAAATTGTGTTTATCATATTTTGTTTATTGAATTTATTTTTCCTAGGATTATTATAATATGTCGTCAGTTTTTTGTTGTAATTTTGCGATATAAATACACCAAAATAACCCAATAATTGATACAATCATTTGTATAATATTTATGTAACTCAAAAACCAGGAAAGAACGCAAGTGGTATGCAGTTAAACCACCGCAACGGTTTGTAATGTTATATTCCACGAGTTTCTTATTGCTCAAGCAATAAAGATCAATTTCGTATATCATAATTAACATTATGTAATTTAAATGTTTGCATAACAATCGTGCTTTATGACAGGAGTTATTTAAATACGTAAACTAGTTGCAACCGTTTTAAGTTGCTTATAGCAGTTACAGTTGCACACTGGCCACCGGTGTGACGACATAAAATGTAAAAAAATAAAATACTTTCATCGTCAATAAAATAAAAAACGGTTTTATTTCAGTCTTCTTCGGATTTAAAATAACTTTAAATAATATTTGATAAGTATGGGGTTTTTTTATATGATCGGAAAGTTTATAAAATTACTATGTTTACAAAGTATGTTTATAAATGTATGATGCGATACATTACATACAAATTCACGCTATCAAAGGTTTTCTAATGTGTTTGTCTTCCAAAACTCTATTTAAGGAGAAAATCAACACGAGGTGAAGTTAGTTGCACGTTTACTTTATTCAAAGTTTCAGTTACATCTACTGTTTAATCAAACTGATCCACTTACCGTTGGTTTCGGAGCCCAAAATCTCTGTATAAAACATGACAATATCATCCCTGACATTATCTTTGACAAAAAAAGATTTTATGCTTAAATCAGTTTTACCCCAAAGTGGGCGATAACGCCCCCTTGTGGGCGCTGCAGGTCTCAAGTTGCGGGTTATAGTAAAAGTTTCGTTTAGAATTCTCCGTTAATATACATATATAGGTCACAATAATTAATTAATTTAGCTGTAGACAAAATAAGTTTGGGAACCACTGCTTTAAATGGAGATTTTGCTCTCAGAAAACCATGGTGTTTATTATTTATGTTTTATGGAGGACAAATCTTAAAGCTTTATGTCAATTTTTCTTAAATTTAATCAAACTATTGATTTATAAAAAAATACTGTAGCAAAATAAAAAAAAACTATACAAACAATGGTAGAACATTAATTTCTTTGATTACTGATTGCTAATATTGATACCACTAGGTTAAAAATCAGAAAGTTATCTAGAACAGTATGTTACACGTAAAATATACCTTATTCTTATATGATAAAGTTCAAAATGATATGCAACTTTGGCGTATGTTGGTCACTTGTGGTCCGGACGTCTCGGAACCCGTTTTAGACATTCCTCTACAAATATAAAACAACGGTACACAAAGTGCGCATCTCGGCAGCGATAAAAACTAGCATTACTTGCACTTGGCACAAAATGCGCTAAAACTGAGCATATGCGAATTCACAGCGCATACATATGCCTAAAATCAATCATGAATTATTATTACTTATCTGCGGTATATTTAATTGACATTTAAACCCGTTTCTAAGTTACAGTTTAACTGATCCAAAGATTATAATATCAATCGAAAGAAAAGATATATTATTAACTAAAAACACTTAACAAGTAGGGATATGTGCTCTTCCACATTATGTTCTACATCTATGTCAAATTACATAAAGATCCGTTGAGCCGTTCTGGAGATACCTTCAAATCCAACCACCCATGCATCTAGACATTCCCATTCATAATATTAGTAAGACAAGATAAGAAATTGATCGAAAAGATACAATTTTGTACTCAACTTCGAACAAAGTAATTAAAGGGATCGATCTCAAAACTAATATTGATTTAGGCCGATAGATGTCGCCAAATATAATAATGGCCATATTCTAGGACAAACTATTTAAAAATATTTAAAAAGAAATCGTCGATCAGTTCATAATTACGCCATCCTACGTATAACAGATTTAAAAAAAAACTAAGTAAATCTGCCTATAAGTCTGTGTATTGCAACACTGGGTGTAGGGCAACGACCAATTTGCCTACGCATCGCCGCGTCTAGACTTGACCACAGACAGGCGACTAACGCTAAAGCTGTTCACGCTACGCTATATCGCTATTTCTAGCTGCTATTCTGCTATTTATAACAGTTTAATATGCTATTCCATCTAATATCACAGTTATTCCTGTGACGTACTAACTAGCTGTAGCTTGCGACTCCGTCTGTACGGAATTAAGGAAAATTAGTCTCTTATATGTTCTAAACTATGTTCTACATCCATGCCAAATTTCAACAAGATCCATACGTACTGGAGATACTTTCTAACAAACATTCATGTATACATCCAAACATTAGCATTTATGATATTATAATAGTAAGATACCGTGGCATTTAATAGATAAAATTATATATATACATTTGACTTGGCCACTAATAAGTTAGTCCTACAACACGATTAAAATAACTAATGTACAGTTATTAATAACAGTGATAATTTAGTAAGAATTTCTTCGTAAAATGAATTATTTTATACCATCAATAATCTTGTAATATGCAGTACAGTTACAGTTAGACAGAAAAGTGCGTGACGAACGACAACATGCCGAGACCACATCACACCGTTACGAGCTAACGTACATTCGTTATGAACCAAACAATCTGTTGTTAAACCGAAATGATTCACCACTGGTTTCTGGTACAAAACATATCGTTATCCCTATCATTATCTTTGACAAATCAGAGATGACAATATGTTTTAAACGGTTTGCGGCAGAAAGAATTACAGATAAAATTCATAATTTTTGTTTTACAATGTGTTCAAAACAGAACTAATTGTTTTTTTTTAAATGTTCATTCCTGATAGCAATTCAAGCATAAATAATATTATATTTTAGTGAATGCGCGATTATTAATTTTCTAGATATTGTGGGCGTTAGCGTGGGCGTTATTATCCTTGTAAAAGAAATCTTACAAGATGCGTGGGTTCTCAGTTATTTCATTCGTTAACAACAATAAAATATGCGGTTATTTTAAATTATAAAACGAATTAAATTATTCAAACTTTCGTGAGACATTATACTAAACTGATATATAAACACGTCCGGTGTCGGCACCGACTAGTTTCGAGTCCATCGGGGGCCCTTCATCAGGATGAGTGGTACTGGTATTATTTCGCGGACGCGGCCCGTCGCTCACTGAGTCACTCAGTGACGGACGGGCGGGCTTATAAAACGAATGAATAATCAATTATAATATAGATTTTAGATAATATTTTTAGAGAATATTATTTAAAATCATTTGGTACGAATGGCGCGCTTTTGTTACCAAGTCAAGTGTCAGATCGATTACTGAGGGGACGTAAGCGGTGATATTTTAATACGGCTAGTGTTGCGCCGATACATCAACAGATTGTCGGTTTTTCTTCCTAACACTATAAAAATAATTATTCACTTATAAAACACTCCGTGTATTTCTTTCATTGTTAATAGATTTTATTAGATAGATTTCATGGTTTTTACGTTCAAAGATGGATTTAGCCAAAATTAGAATACTTTAGATCTCATCATCATCATCATCAGCTTAGATTTATCCACTGCTGGATGTAGGCCTCCCCCATCGATTGCCACAATGCCCGGTCCTGTGCCGCCCGCATCGGTCGTTTTGTAACCACCATTGGGGGGGTTGTGCCAATAATCGCAACGCTTGGCAGGCGGGTTGGCGATCGCAGTAGTTCCACCGTAACCTAGGGACGCTGCTGCACGTCCTCCGGTGGTCTGGACGCAGTTTAACGACAATACCTGGGTTCGGTTAGATCTAGGTTAGCCAAATAACTCTGATACCGAATGAAAAACAAACATTCGTTACTTGTCAACATTATTGTTGTGTTTATTTAGTTTTAATTAAAATGATTAAACTAACCATGATAAAAATGGTATTCAGAATAACCTCAACATTCGATCGGCCATACAAAGGCACGAGGAAGTTGTTAGGCTTCAGTTTGTAGGCATAGAAATGAAACCTTAAAACTACGCGCACGTGTTCTTTAACACGTTAAACGCCATAGTAGAAATAGAAAAAACAAAAAATACTTTTTGTTGGAAATAGATGCGTAATGTCGAATCTTCGAAATATGTCTATTTAAGGGCTTAATCAGAAGCTGGGTCCCGCAGATATTATAAAAAAAACTTCATGACGTCACAGTTGCCGGTCACCGGTGACCCCGGAGTGGCGTTTAACGTGTTAACTAGAGTTAACCGTGGATTTCCATTGCAAAAATACATGGCCATGGAATTATTATCTAGGTTTTTAGAAAAAGATGAATGTTAAATTAATTATCTATTTTTTTCTGCAATCTTGATAACATTCAAAGGTACTGGCAACATCGAATAGTTTAGATGCGCAATTGTGAATAAATGGGCTTGATGCGTTTATTATTCTGCCGGTGTATAAGTTAGGGCTTGTCCATACGGGAGACTTATGTCTGGTTTACATTGTGCCAGTACAGTAGGACAGTAGTGCTGGCCTTAAATAGACTGGTTTGCTGACTCGCGCCATTCACATACAATGTAAGTAATTGAAGTTTTTAGTTGATTTAGTTATTTGTTACTAAATCTGTGGCTAATCTATATCTCTAATTTATCCTACCTACGATTGTAGATCAGAAAATATTGATATTGTAAACTTTTGAAACATCTACTTTTGTAGGTTTAATTTGTAAACTTACTGAATATAACCTAATCTTATCTACCATTGTGTTACAAAATTAATAGTAAAAGTTTGATCGTCAGCCAGCAATTGTTACAACAATGCGTGGGCGATGCGATATCGTAATGCTAGTGTGTACGTGCTCTTATATCTCCGTATTCAATGAGAGGGCGTCAAGGTATACCCGGCGACGAAGCATGTTCACAGTTAATTGAATCGCGCAAACAATTATAGACGACAGTGCCTTAAATTAAGGACAATAGTCGTGTGAAGTGTTGCTAAAGGGACGTACAGCGTTGTTGACTGTTGGAATGGAGGAATGTTGGGATGCTTTTTGAATACGAATGTAATGGAACTAGCGTTGGTTATGTAATGCGAAATTGACGAACGTTCCTATTGTTACCTATGAAGTGTATTTGGCGGGAGAAATTTTAAAGTTTAAAATTTAATTTAATTTCATTCAGAGACGGTTATAAGTTAGGTGATATTTATTAATCTTCTTTTCTCTTTCCGTAAGTAGTTAGAACATTAATACCTTGTAATATATAGTATAGCGGTCACCCGCGGCTCCGTCTGCCTCGAATTAAAAAACAACATAATTAATAGCCTACGTGTTCTTCCAGGCTATGTTCTATATCTATGCTAAATTTGAGCGAGATCCATGCATCCATCCATCCATCAAAACATTCAGATTTATAATATTAGTATGATTTAAAGTATTTAAGTATGGTTTTTCGTACATCGGTGTATCATAACTTTATGATGAAGGGGGGTTTTAGCCCAGCTAATTAGTGCCTAGTTATAATTTAAGGAACTTTCATGATTTCTGTCGATGTTAGAAATGTGTAATTTCTTTTATAGTTTTTAATATAAGGGATGTTTTTGTTGCAGTGTCGGACATCGGTCACAACATCGTGCAGGATGCATTCCTCATCGCAGTGGAGGAGCGCGCGCGCCAGCGGCTTCAGCGGCTGTCGGCGCTCAAGCGCATCACTCCCGTTGATATGTCAAAGCTCTCTTTAGAAGTTAGTATGCTATTATACAAACTTTATGTCACCTCGGAATCACACAAGAGTATGCATTCAAAGTTTCAGCGGGACGTAGCATCCACGTGGTTGAACTTTAGCTCGTAGTTTATTACAAGCTACAAGTTCATTCCAAAAGTGTAGATGACTTATGTGTGTAAAATTGCCTCATTTTACCGCAGTACATTAGTCATAGTTAGTATTGTTTTTTTAACCACAATTTAATAGATATTTAAGTTGTCCATACTTTAGTGATATAATGGTATATATGATATGATACACTAAGTCTGATTGTATCTGATTGCAAAGTTTATTGCGACAAACGTTGCGTCCAAGTGTCTCATGTAGATGAAAAGTTCCGGACATTTCCAATACATCATACTGCGTTTAAATCATATGTTGGACACAATTTCCGTACAAAAGACACTACTAAGACACAAAATATCCGTACAAGCGTAAGACAGACATTAATGTCGGACATTTATGTCTGAATTTATCTTGTAGTCGTACCTTAATTAATAGCTTAATTCCTTTGTTATGTAATAAAGTTCTTGTATAGCCTACAGGCATTGAGTTATATAACTAGATGTTTGGTCGCACCACAGAGCAGTCCTAAACATACAAGGGTTTCTGTGTACAGAACGCAATTTTGATGCTCGCGGACGCACAGAGCAGCTACAATTAGAGTGAATATATAACATTATGTCAGTTTTTCATGTTGTTAAATTCATATAAATGTTTAATAGTGAAACTAAAATAGTAAATCTATTGAAAAAATGCCGATGTAGTAATGTCGTTAAAGAAAGAGGTCGATAATCGTGAGAAAAACTTCTAGACACGTGAAAAATGTCAAAGAGGATGTTGTTATATTGGAAAGGATATTTGAACATGTTCAATGGAAATGTTTAAACATTTTATGCAAATAATAAAAATTTCTAACTTGGATCAAGAATATTTTGTAGGAACTTTTGGCTTTGACAACAGTCGTTACGTATTTACATATCTTCAATTGATTTTTATTCCCAGCCTTTTTAAATCAAAAGTGATAAAAGTATTGCAAAATAAATCCAAAATGTAAATTAAAAACCTTAAAACGTACCTTTAGGAGAAAGCGAATGGTGGGTTTCTGACTCCAATATCTCCGTTAAAAACGTATCTTTATCCCTGTTTTGTCAAAAATAATGACAGGGATGACGATATGTGATACAGAGACTTTGGTCTCAGAAACTCACGATTAGTCTATCTTATCTTTGTAGGTATCAATTCAAATGGCAATATATCTAACAAATTGTCACGATGTCCGACAGATGTCGTGCTACCGAGTTATGAATAAAGACGTCACTTACAGGCAACAGAGCTAGGAATAAACAGAAGCGGAATATTAATAGCTGTCCGGCTGAGTGTCAGCTCTATTTATACTGTGTCCCGATGTGTTTGTTGTGCACAGAAGTTGGACGCAGGCTGTCGAGTGGCTCACATGGTGTAAGGCACACGCTTAAGCGGGTTACATTTTAACGACCATGATCCAACTGGGTTATAATCAAAGAATTTTCTTTTATTATGTATTTGTATTTATGATTATAAGTAAATTTATAGGTAAAAAAAACACTAGAATCCAACAATCATTAATTTCATCATCAGCTCACTATACGTCTCCTCCGAGGCTCTCGGAGCCTACCACCGCTAGCCCAGTGCGTTTTGGTTGACTTCACACATAACGTTGAATTTCTCTTCCTCCTTCGCCGTCTACAATCATTAATATATCTTCATCTAAACGTTGCAGTCTTTTGTACAAATTAAATTGATGCTTTGTTCTAAGTTCCCTTAAGCAATAATGAAAGTATTATGTTACTATTGTTGTATCTCATCTCCCGTTACAAAGAATTGTTCATTCCGACGTGTAAAATACAATGTCACTACCTCGTCTGTAATCAATAAGAAAACGCATTCTGAAGATCAGAATAAATGAACTATTGTATGCTAATGTCATGACATCATTTCAACTCGAAAGAACTTTTTATAACGTTGTATTATGACGTTGTTTAAAAGATTAGATCTTCAAGGGTTATTTTATTTTAATATACAGATATTTGTTAGATGTATAGATAAATAGATACAAACATCACAAACTCTAATTTTTAAAATATTGTATTAAACAGGGCTGAAGATGAATAGTTTGGGAAATAACAAAGAACAAACGCGAACTTGCGTACAGTCAGGCAAAGACTTTAATTTTTTTTCTTTTTTGTGTTTTTTTCTGGATATCTGGATTAAATACAGTCATTCCAATTTGATTAATTGTATATATTGATTGCGAAGAATTTCAAAACTATCGCTTTTACTTTAGACCACACATAAAATTACATATTAAAACATACGAAGCTGCAGATAATTTCTAGTTCAAGATATGTTTACGTTCCATTTTCAGCAAATATTCGAATGAGATTCTTCAACAGGGCACGACTCAAATGTGCCGAGGAGTTTCATTTATTATTTTAAGTTTAAAATAGGAACAATGTTTTTTTTAAATAAAATAATATCACATTTATTGTTTACTATAATATTTACTACCAGTGGTAGAGCCCGCTTTAACATCTTCGCACGAATTGGCCCGGCTCGCCCGGTGAAATACCATGACCTCACAGAAGACACGCGTCAAGTGGAAGCAATTCCGCGTTTCGTCTGATGAGTGTGCGTCTCGGAAGCCTAATTTAGTCCTCTTTCCCTTCCCACCCCTTTTCTTATAAGGAAAGGATGGGAAGTGGAAGTGGACTTTCCGGATGAGAGAATGCATGGAAAGGGAAAATATTTTGTTTCTGTGCATCCTTTCCTCCGTCGATTAAAGGTAGGCAACGCATATGCAATTGCGTATGTCTATGGGCAACGGTCACTTCGCTATTTCAGCGCTTTCAGGTGGCCGCTCGCTCGTTTGCCACCTTATGATATAAAAAAATATTAATTTTAATTTGTTAATTTGTTTATGGATTTTTTTAATAATGCTATTTATAATCTGACCTTCATGCTGAGCTGTGTTTGTATGACTCATCTTGTATTTTTAAAACTTTATGATTTAACCCGCCTTATAAAAATGCATTCACGATAAAATACCTGTATTCAACATGCTTTATCTTTTAATTAATGATTTGTTTTTATTGCATTATTAAAGCGGCAAATGAATAGTCTTAATAAAAAAATCTCGTGTTAAAATGTTGCTTACTTTATTCCTTTGAAACGACTATAAGAATCGGCTATCTATTTTTAAAACCCACGTGAAAGGAGTCGCACGACAGTCAAATTAAAGATATTAGTCTTTTTTTTAATTTCAACAAAATTATATTATTACGTCATAAAACTAAAAAAGTTAAGTCCAAAGAATGTTTAAACCTTCCCTTGCTTGGTGAATTTTTTTCTTTCAGGATAGCATGACCAGAAATTCTAGTTCAGGATTCAAGCTTAACTAAGATACAGGAAATCTGATATTACTTACACTGAAGGGAACATATAGATCAGGAGTGTACACCTAATATTATTTTTCTACTCTACTATCTAGAGAGAAAACTTTTGTTGTCGAAGGCCAAGGCCCACTTCGGGTCGCTGCGTTACCCTAGTTAGTTCTATTATCTAGAAACTTGAAGAATAAAGTTTCGAATCTTAATCTTAATACATCATACAATCATCCAATTTTATATTAATAGTATGTTCACGGCTTGGAATTTTAGTTGATTTAAACAATAGTTCGTCAGAGTAGGCATTGTTGCATGCGTTAGTTTGAAGCTAACATGTCTTCATTAATTCTCCGCTTGTCTGCATAGCAACACAATTCATGTCTTGTTGATTCCAAGCTAAACTACTTACCTTGGGCTTCTGAGACAAAAAACGCCCTTTATCCAGAGATTCGGGTCTCAGAAATCCACGCTTAGTTGTTTAGAAATTAAGCTCCAGTTGTATCTTCTATGTTCGAAATTCGTATTTGAAACGAAATAACAAAACCTTGTCTGCGTACGCCGTATTTTCTCGTTTTATGCGAATCGTACGGAGATTTAGCTTTGGCGTCTAAAAAAAACAACCGAATAAACAACGAAGCGTATTTCTACAAAACATTAATGGATTTGCGCAGCCCTGACCCGTTTTAAGGCTTTACAATCCATCATAAAACCACCAGGGTTGTCACCACGGGATGTGAGTTACGTCGACTCGTAATAATTGTCATGTTGACATCGAGATTAATTAAAAAAAACAGTTATGAATGTTCCCTTCCTGAGCATTGCCTTTTATCGTCTGATGAGTTTGTTTTGCGATCTTTTTGTAAAGAATTGCTTAGAGTGAAATTTTACCGTAAAAATATATTTTTTACTTTGTCATGTTTTTCTGTATCTTACTTATTTAAAACAAATACTTAAAGTAACGAAATATGTGCACTACATTTGAAATATGTTTCTGCAGATGTATCTGTCACATGCAACAGTATATCATAACGTTATTATTTTACAGTTAAACAAAAAGAAACGCACGCAACCGGAGAACAGGCAAGAGTTGAACGGGTACATAGCTAACTCCGCCGTCTACGTCACATCGATCAACGAAAATGGTGCTATAGAGAGCAAGCCGACAATATCTTCACCGAAGTCACAACCGAAGTCATTACAAGCGAAACCAGCGCCCGTCATAGCGAACGGTAGTGCTGAAACAAAGGAAGATATAGAAGAGAACGAACCAGAGAAACACGAGCAGGATTCTAGTGAGAAGTTGAAGGTTACAGTGGAATGTGAAGTGAGAGTGGAAAGTGAAGTGAGTGGAGAGAAGAGTGACGCGTTGAGTGTTGCCCGAGAGCATCTTAGCAACGGCCGCTGTGAGAAACTGTTGGGCGAGCAGCCTGACAGGCCGAGGCCGTCCGCAGACAAGCTCGCGCCCGGAGAGAAAGGGTGAGTATTAGTATTTTGAAATCTATAGTCCATAGAACTAGATCATTTTATACAAGTTTAAAGCAACTGTAAATGTCTCTTGCAGCGAAAAGGGGCTGATAAGTCACAAAACAAACTAATTGGATGTAAGGATAAAAGCCCATTCACACGATGCAAGTTTCTTGCCTGTTGCATACAATTATTATAAATTGCAGTAATAAATGTCTTGTATAATCTAAAAAACTGTTGCCTATAATTATTAAACGTAAAAGAAAGTGGTATTGTGTAAATGGGTCCTAAGATTGCTCTTTTATAGCAATTCATGTTATAACATTAATTTTAAATTTTCATAAAAAATAACGTGGTTCTAAAATGATCTCATATCAGCATATTGTCGCACAACTGTTATTTACGTTATATTTAAATTAATATTTGTTTATCTACAAACGCTCCCTTGTTGCGCACGCGTCTCCATTGTGTGTTGCACCTGTGTGTAACTTACACTTTACTATGCCTTCTTCTAGTTCACTGTTGTTGACATTATACAACATTTTATTTATTTTCAACCTTATTTCAAGGAGCAAAAGATTTAATATCAATAGATAATATCAGTCTTAATACACCTAGTTTTGTATTTTAGTATGATTCGATATTGTTTATCTTATTTAAAAACTCAACACCTAAAAATATGTTCTAGAAGCATTTTTTGCCCAAATGACGCTAAAGACAAGACTCTCGACGTGGTACTTAATCATCTAACGTAACTATAATAAGGTCATATTTATCTGTCCTGCATAGTAACGGTGTTTATTCAGACTGAGTAGGGTAACAGGTTGAGGCTAGGGCTGCCAAATTTAAATAAACGTCCCCAAAGACCGGCCGCAAGTAAACTACGCCCAGACTTAGGTAATTATCGATAAAACGGCGGTGTTTAACTGTCCATTCTAAGTGAAAAAAGACATGTAGTGACATTTACCCACCATCTTTAAATCCTTGGCACGACTATGTGTCATGAAAATCCAGAGATTTCGGGTCACAACCAATAGACAGCCCTAGTTAAGGCGCTCCCTGCGTGTGCAAGCAACGTCGCGTGACGTGACACGGTCGACTGAGCGATGCAGTGAATTAATACACCTTGTTCCAATCCAAAGCTTCGATATTTTGACTAACTGCATATGTTTTAAACTGCCAAATTACAAAATATTTCCAATAAAACACTTAGATTGACCATTTCAATGTGACCGTCTGGTGGCTAAAGAACCTTATTCGATGCGCGAAGCGAAATTCGATTCGTGTTTTTTTTAAGTAGCGGGGGGTGAACGAGCAGCGGGTCGCCTAAATTCGGCAAGGAACCGCAGATGCGTTGCCGGCCTGTAAGGCTCTTTTCTTAAAGGGCCCTTACTTGTTACTGTTTGGAAATACCGCGGCAGAGTATTAAAAAGCGAAAACCTTGTCGTAGTAAAATCTTAGTGGTTACACAGTCGTTTGAGTTTTTTTAAACTATTTATTCAAGTTAAAATTATCATCATGAATTTAACAATTAACAACTTCCTATTCGCTATCGTAGTTTCTAAAACAGCCTCTCAGTTGGTAAAGGCGGCGTTTGACTCAAAAGGCCCTATCGCAACAATCAGTGCAATTAAGTGGCCGATCTCAGCCGGAGATTGTGAGCTATCTGTAATGTTCCTCTACAAATACTTGCTATTTCATATCGTCATATCTTGTGATTACATCGGTTAAGTAATGCAATTTAAAAGTACATATTTCAGTTATGAAATCTTTCTTCTTACTGATATATTTTGGAGTTTTATATTAGTAATCTCACTAATATTATAAATGCGAATTAGATGGATGGATGTTTGTTAGATCTCCGGAACTATTAAATTTGGCACGGATGTAGAACATAACCTAAAAGATCACATAGGCTTCTTATTATTTTTAATTCCACGTTGACTGGAGCCGAAGGCTACAGCTATTAAAAAGTTTGAATGAATAAATAAATGTTTATTGCAATCGCACACAAAGATGTTGATTAAAATAACTCGTTCATATTTCGCTACTCGTCATGTTACTGGCAATGACAAGATCATGTGGCAGGCACGGTCGCTTTTTACAACCACATACCTTTCCTGCACGTACACTGTATCATACTAGATACAGTTATGTATAGACAACTCAAGTGTTCGTACCTACTTCGTCTACTAACTACTAGTGAATCTCCTTTAAGTCCTCTTTCCTTTCGACCTTATGCATAGGAACTGTTGGGAAGGAGAAGTGATATGAAAAGGGGATATAATTTCTTTTTGTGTGTCTCCTCCGTCGATTAAAGGTAGGCAACGAATCTGCTATTGCAAATGTTTACCGGCAGTGGTAGCTTCTGTCTTTGTCACCTCATAATATAAAAAAACCTACACTAACTCTGAGATGTTTGATTTACTTAAACTGTCTCATCTCGTAGGAAGTAATGAAATTCTTAAGTTAATATTAAAAAGTCTGGCATAGTTTAATTGATATAATAAAAACTATTCACATATTAAAAGGGTTATTGTTACCCCAAGAGTTACCTGTCCCTCAGCCTCCCCCACCTGTTACCCGGCGAGTTGTTTTGTCTCGCTCGCACATGCGCACGCGCAACGTTGCGCGCTCTTCCATTTTGAATTTAGACTATTTCTATGTTACCTGTGGAACGGACGTGTTCGTAAATTGTGCGTTGTGTTGCTGTGCTGCCACCTGTGTTTTGTGCGTGTGTGTGTTTGTGTTGTGCTGTGAGATGTGAATTGTGTCTATAACACAGAAAATATGCACTACAAACTTTTTAAAAGGTATTTCTTTATATAAATGTTATAGTTTTGAAGTACGGTCATAGATAGGTTTTTAATAGCGACAGCTCCGTATAATTATTGTGACTGATAGATTGTTTTAGATATTAACTCGATTCAAGTTCCTTGCAGATGATATATTCTTGATTTTGTATGTATGAATCGTGTTTGTGATCGTAATTTATAAATGTAGATTTAAAGACAAACACTTTTTATAGGTTATATTAATAATTTATTTATGCTATGTTCAGTTTTATTCGTTTTTAAAACCAGTTATTATTTTTAAACTATAAAATTGCTCATAGAACATAATTCTGAGTAAAATTCTCTGTTAGCCATTGTGTTTCTCTTTAAATATTTATAAGTTCTTCGTAATTTTTAAATGACTTAATGAGTACTAGTTACTTTCAATGAATTCTCTGAAAACACGTTTAACTTTGGATTATCCATTTTGCGGTTTTCAATGGAAGAGACTTCTTTTCATAATCAAAGATGTATTTTTGACATCAGGTTAAGAATGAAGTTAAGAAAATTATAGACATATAATTATGACGTATGTATATTTTTACGAAAAAAAAAACTAAAAACAAATGGCGTCAAAGATTTGCCTTTCATATTTTAACTTTTTTTTTAAATATGCATATCTGAAAAAAGTATATATCGTAGTGTTAATTACATAAATTAATTTAAATAATACCTTAACGGTTATGACACCGTTTTGAATTTATTGCGAAAAAATATTACGTTCATAAATGTATAATGAAACTAATAAACGACAGATAATCAAAGGTCACTGATGGCTTAGCCTTTTTTGTATAAAAAAACAAAATCGTACTTGAGTAAACTAACGACAATGCGGCGTCACTAAACTGAGTTATAGTAAAAAAAAGCTTGCATAAAAACTCGAGACTTAAGATTTTCTCCATTTTATCATATACTTGAACTCCTTAACATGTTAAATGGGATGGTTTCACTTGACTAAAGTGGATTAACATGTGTTTGGTGAAGAAATTTTTATTTACATTTTTTAAAGGCTTTCTTTTTCAGACATTATAAACTTATAAATTAAAATGATTAAAAACATACAGACGAATTGAGAACCTCCTTCTTTTTTAAGTCGTTTGATTAAAATTTCGTCCTTTCCCTGTCTTTATACCATTTTATGTGGGGTTGTTGCAACAGTTTTCGACCTCCAATTCAATCATTCATTTCCCTTGTCACTCTTTTCTGTATCATGACACTTTTACGCAATCCATTCACCTAGAAGAATAACAATGCTTTTAAAAATAAAAAAAACTACTTAAAAAATCACTCAGATATATAAAAAATGTCGCAGGTCTAATTGTTGGTATCTTAGTGTCATAACGGTCGTCTTCCTTGGAATTTGTCTTTAAGATCCGTTGCAAGAGACGTCACGTACCTTGTATAATATCCGGCGTATAATTAAGTATTTCTGAGTACACCCTCCATAAACTGGCCGTAAAGGAAATTTGTAACAGGCGGCATTGTCTACGCCAGACGCCTCTTCTTGGAGCAAGAGAAATTATTGACAACATAAACGCTATTCTGACGTATGGCCCAACAATATGTTAAGTAAAAAAGATTTCTATTCGTAAGGGATAAGACTGAAAATCGCTTGACGGTAGTAATCTTGGGCTTTTTTGAATTTGGAACGTGAAACAATGGCAGCATTGAATATTCCGCATTCGTCCGATTTTCCCGCGCTGTCGCGTTAATATTCGAACTGGCCTTTGGATTAAACGTCTCAGGTTTCGGATATATTTTAAAAGTAACAATTTTTTTCCGAATGAAAATTTTATTCATAACGTTGTTTATGCGACAAAGAATGAATAAAACAACTTCTTACTTCCGTTGACGTTTCGGACGAATTAAAAAATGTTTCAATTTGCCCACCATTGTAGATATTGACATTTTATGTTTGAAGCTACTTTTGTATTAAGACTTTAGTGGCAGCTAAAAATGTATATGTATATTAAGCATATGTTAAGAAGAAGAGCTAAACTGTTTAACAAAAAAAATGTAAGGTTTAACATACAATGTTGGGACACAAGCCAACGTGTGTAATGACCCTTAATTCCGACGCATTCTTAGGGGTATTTAAAATATGTACCATAATCACAGTGCGTAATTGTTGGAGCACTGACCTTGCTAGAAATATGCCTTAGGGTTTTCATATATTTT